GAGGTCAAGAGGAAGGCCAAAGAGGAGATATATGGATGTGCTAAAAGAGGACATGAAGTTAACTGGGGTGAGAGTAGAGGATGCTGAGGATAGTTAGGTGGAAACAGATTATTCGCTGTGGTGCCCCCTAATGGAAACAGCCAAAAGAAGAAGAAGAAGACAGTTCGTAAATTGCACTGGTTAAAGTCGCCGAGCAGCGATAAATACAGCATCGGGGTGCACTGTCTCTAGTGCGCTGATGACATTATAGAGTTTGAGAGCCGCAGAGGGATTACCTCTTGGGCTAACATACACAGCAGCCAGAAACACAGCACTAGGCTCTCTTGCTAGATAATAGGGCTGGCATTTCAGCAATAAAAACTCTACGTCTGGCAAACAGTGCTTATAAACCAGCGGTGGCCAATTCCAGTCCTTGAGGGCCGCTGTCCTGCTTGTTTTCCAACTATCCCTGCCTGACCTGCTGCTGATCACCTGGCTCAGGTGTGTTCAGTCAGTCAGAAGCTGGAAGATACCATCTTAGATGAAAGTGGAGTGAGGAAAGATAAAGTGAATTGGTATCTTCCAGCTTCTGACTGGCTGAACACACCTCGGGGACTGGAATTGGCCACCCCTCTAACAGTCCGTACATCTCCACCCCACAAGTTATTGATAACTATATCAATATACCTTACAAACTCAATATATTGGCCAGCCCTACTCCAGACTAACACTTCATGCTGGTGGCACTGGTATCACAAAGTCTCTCAGATGGTGGCACCAGTGCCAGATTTGGTGGCACCTGCCATTTACAAAATTGGTAGCATGGTGACCTCAGTCTGAACCTGCCATTAGCAGTGGCCTGTGTCCATTCACATGGGCATCCCACTGCTTGGCACCTGCGTGCTCTTTGTGAAACCACCTGCCATCACATCAGCAGTGGTGATGCATAACACGGCATATATGCCTTTAGATCAGAAGTGGAAAAGCAGCATGCCAGATTGATGGGTTGCTGGCATTTACTGTGGTACTATACAATATTCAGCAGGTATAATTAACGTATCCTTATACATTGTCTCACATTAAATATGGTTAATTGCACTGAAGACAGGCTCCATTTAAACATGCCAAAACGGTGCAAATGCGGATAGATCGATGCTTCTCTCACTGATTACTCAGGCTGTCTGTGATGGCTGGGCTAGCAAGTTAGCTAAGGTGTTTTGTTGTATGTGTTATTGTAAAACTGGGTCCAGGCATCTCAGGCCAGCGCTGCTGTTGTTTCCACTTTTATAGAACATTTTAGGTTTAGTTTATTTTTATTGCATTAAGAGAAATAGATGAGCCTGAGCAGGTATAGTGTAGACAAAGCTGCTGAGGAGTTACTCTTGCTTGAGTGGAGGTATGAGGTTAACAGCTGCTCTGTGAGGTCAGGGCTAGAGAGTGGTGACCCCTGGGTCCTAGCAGATTTATGATGCACAGTCTGAGCCCCACGGCAGAGCCCAGTGATTTACATGAACCCCTCTGTAGCAACACTCATCGAAGCACGTACCTGAGTACTGATAACTCCATTATAACACCCCCCCTTCTCTCTCTCTCTTTCTCTCTCTCTCTCTCTCTCTCAGGACCATCATGCACCTGACGTCGTACACGAAGCTTGTGCGCACAGAGTTGCATTTGGATGCAGCCAGTGTTCAGACGCCACCACAGCGGAGCAGTCTGTTTGTGAGCCAGCAGGGGACGCTGCTCACAACCTGCAGCAGTAACCATGGCAACATCAGCAGCAGCCGCCTCCCACTCAGCATCATCTCCTCCAACATGCTCCGCTGCACCAACGTCAGCAGCAGTGTGTCAGCGCTGAAGCTGAAGGTGTCGTCCAGTGGCACCCTGCAGCTTCTCCCCCCACCACCGAGCTCTGAGAACAACACAATCAGACTGTATCAGACCACCACAGAGGATGCCACAGACCCCTCACTGGACATCTGGACCGTCATCAAGCCTGGACACGTCCGCGAGAAGATCGCAATCTTCGCTTCAGTTGGAGGACGGACCAACAGTGCAGGGTGCAGTGAACACACCACAACCAGCAGGTCCAGCTGCCGGGACAGAATGCTAGCAGAGTGTATGAATCACGCTGCTGTGTCGGGACTGTCAAGGCCCACGAAGGCGAAAGGAAGCAGGGAGGAAAACTGTAGTGCCAAACGTCGCCGCAGGTCTGGGAACAACCAGACCCTCCAGAGGACCCAGGTCCTGGGCACACAGCAACATACCCTGAAATCATCTTCATGCCGCTCAGACTCATCTCAACAGCTGGGTGGTGGGCAGTGTGGCGGCAAGGCGGAGGACGAGCACAAGGTGTCTGTGGTGGAGATGGTGGCGTTCCTGGAGCAGAGGGTGAGTGAACAGCAACCAGACTGCAAACCTCTTCAGAAGAGCTCCACCACGATCACACTGTCCAGAGCCCCACTCGCTGATGTCAGGAATGGGTCAGAGGTCAGGGGGGAGGAGCCAGAGAGCATCAGGGTGTCAGAGATGGTGGCCAGGCTTGAGTCGGAGTGTCTGAGGAGAAGGACAGAGGGAGATCTGTCAAGGAGCAACAGCCTGAGGAGGACGGTGGGACGAGTCCTGCTTGCTGCTGGAGAACGGAGCTCTGCCCCCTCCCAGCCCACATCACTACTGTCATCAGTGATGTCATCCATAACATCACCATCACTGCCAGGAGCTCGAGCTCCAACTCCACAACATGAGGCTGTCAGCTGCTCAGGACCTGCCAGAACAGACACACCTGCCTTAACTGTGATGGCACCCCTCTCAACTCACTCAGGTGAGTTGGTGGTTGAACACCAGGAGGCTGGAAGTCTGTGGGCTAACAGTGCTGTCTCAGCCTCTGAGACTGTAGCCCCACCACCTCTGTCTAAGAATGTGGAGCCTCTGCCTGGTTTGTTGTTTTTGTCCCCTCCTTCTGCTGACACACACACCCATGCAGCCTCCACCCCTCCCTCCATAGATTTGGAGCCCCGCCCCCCTCGACACAGAAAACCCTATGACCGGGTGCCTGCCCCCTCTCAG